AAAAAAAAAAAAAAAAAAAGAACCTGGACGCCTGGATCCTGCAGGCAAGGCTACAAGGCTTCTCATCTGAGCCTCAAGACTGAAGCTCCTAATAAGCACTTGAAGTAAATTCTTCTGATATGAAATATGAACTTTTCAAGCTATGTGCCAAGATATATATGACCTTTAAAACAGGAATGCTTAATAGCATGTGAGCATAAAGCAATCCAATCACCTAGACAGATCTTAGCTAAAATTGCATCAAAGGATTGGTGGGTTTTCTTCTATACAGTACTTAAAAGAAAAAAAAAAAAAAAAAAAAAAAAAAAAAAAAAAAAAAAAAAAAAAACAGAATGTCTTTTACCTGAGGATGAAATTATAAGTAAGTGCACTACCAATCATTTTCCTAGATGGTATTTTTTATGTTTTTATTTGTTTGGTTGGTTTGGTTTGTTTTTTGTTTATTTGTTCATTTGTTTGTTTTGAGATAGGGTCTTACTAAGTAGCTCTGGTTGCCCTGGAACTCACTCTGTAGACCTTACTGGCCTTGAACTCACAGAAATCCACCTGCCTCTGCCTCCCATGTGCTTGAAACTAAAGGCTTGGGCCACCACACTTAGCCCTTAGCTGTTATTTTTGAAGTTTAAAAATAGCACCCTTTCTATCTACTGACACAAGCTGAGCTTCATTTGTAACCTTTGGTTGTTTTAATCTTATGTTACACAAGAAAACCATTGCCATAGCTTCAGATACATTCACAAGCAGTCAACCATCTGCCCATAATGTGGTGGATAGGATGTTTCAAGGGTCCAAGAGAATAAAACTAAGAACCTGGTCCACTGGATCACAGAGATGATGCTCTTTTAGACCTTACGCATCTAAATGAAGTCAGAGCCATCCTGTCTAGTCTTCAGCACAGGTCCAGAGATGCATTTGTGCTCACTCAACTCATAGGGAGCCTGAAGTACAAATCAGACTACCAATTTATTAATTTATCATAGGGAATATTCCTTTTCACTAATCAGAAAACATGAACCTGATACCAGAGTGCTACTTTCTCAATGTTCATAGAATCCTCAATTAATACTCGGAAGTTTACCAGACCAGATATTAGAAAGAAGACACAGAGAATTTAGGGAATGCATAATAAGTTAGTTATGGGTACCCAACAAGCTTCTTCCTAGTGACGAAAGTTGTGATTCCCACAGGTAAACCATCTCTCCCTTGGTTATCACTGCCTCAACATGGCAGACTTCCAGCTGCTTCTCTCCACTGAGTACTTCCAACTAAGACACAGTACTAATGAAGAGGATTCACCTTATATTCATTATTATCCTCCTTTTTTTTTTTAATAAAATACCTCTAGATAAAGCTGCTTAAGCAACTGGCCCACGGTCACAGCTGTTACTAAGTCACAGAGATTCAGATCTTAAGTCAACGCACATAGGCTGTAGATCCAAGCTGGAATGGCTACCCACTACAGCACAGGCCTGTCCGCTCAGCCCTGGGGAGCTGGGCAGGAGGGCTGGTTTAAACGATTGTTCCTGTGTTCCCAGAACGCCATAAACACACCACACTGTCATTTCTTGTCTAAGAGTCTATCTCTCTTATTAGGCTGAAACTTCTGGAGAACAGAAGTGATGTTCAGTCACCTTTGTATCTAGAGTACTTTATATCTAGATAAACATGCGAGCTTATTTGTCCGGTTAAAAAAACCAGCAAACCCAAAGCCCGAAACTAGCCATATAGGAAGGTCACAATGTCTCTGGCCATCAGCACCTCATCTAAAAAATGATGAAATCAATATATAAGGATGAAATATACAAGAACATGTCAGTTCCCCTCTGACTAACAGCACTTTTATGGCTTATCAGTATGAATTATCACAAATAAAATTCAACTCCTTTACCCTCTGTGCTGTGTGTGTGTGTGTGTGTGTGTGTGTGTGTGTGTGTGTGTGTGTACATTCATATACACACAACTAATAGTTCAGGGAAGACACCTCTTCTGAAAGGATGTAACTATCATCCAAAAAGTCAAACAGTGGCACCCTCCTCTGGTGGAATGTTAAAGGAGCCAAGGACACAAACGATAATAACTAGATGGTGGGCTTTTCTTCAAATGATATAACTAGAGAATGAAAAAGCAAGAGAGAAGTCACCCAGTAGTAGTACCTGCTATTATCACAACCCCAATAGCAACCTAATAACTCATTTACAGCAGCACTTCCTCGTTTACTTTTTTAAGGTAAAAGAAAGCCAAAGAGAATTAACTGACTGCATGTCATAGGAGGAGATAAAACAATCGCTCTGTTTTTGTGAGAACTGATAACGTTAGCCATTTTGCAAACAGCAAGCGTTTTAACATAAGGTGCGATGAAAAGCATTTCACGGTGTGGCTAATGGTGCTCATCTTTCCACTTAATACTTCTTCAAATGCAATGAAAGCTGAGTACACGTAAAACACTGAGTTCAAGGAAAGCCTCCATCACACCCTTTTCTGAGTGGTGTATCTACCCCAGACACTGCTAGAAACTTCTCACCCGAAACTTGTGGTTCTGCAGCTTCCAGGTCTTGAAAGACTCCGGTGAAAAGATTTTAATCATCCAACCACAAGTGCAAGCCCAAATCATGCCAACATGTCCCATCCAGACAACCACAGGCCAGTGTTCTACAGCACTGACAGTCCATCAAAACTTCTAGAGGTGTGCTTCCAAAACCCAGATACAGGTTATCAGCAACTGTCTTGCTCTAGATATATAATAAACAGGTTTATTAAATTACTGACAGGGAGAAAATCAGTTTCCTTCACCCCACTGAGTCCAGGCACATAAAATGGCATTATGAGTCAGTCATTACACGGTCACCCTAGTCATTCAGGTATCTTTTTGCTCAGTGTGCAGGGTCTCCTATCTAATTAGCATCCTGTGGTCAGGCGGAGTAGAACTGCAAACCGCCTCGAGACGATAAAAGTACAATGAACAAGAAACTTTCATTCTGAAGGACACATTAGAAACAGGCAGGGGGGTGGGGAAAATGTTTAAACACTAATCCCACTCTTATCAACTAAGCTTCCCAACTGTTTGGCATTCTCTGCAAAGTTGGCAAGCAGACACCATACCCGGGCAAGATTTGCAAATGGTGAGTGGAGAATGCAGATAAGATAACCCATCAAAAGCTTCCTCGGTGTTTACCAAAACAAAATCAAAAAGCCACTGGACCAAAGACCAAGCAAACACCCGAGGAGAGGGCAGTCCTACAGCTCCCTGGAGCCCACCGGGAGCAGGAAGATGGGGAAGGGTGCGGTGGAAGGAAGAGGCAGAGAAGGAATAGGTGATAAGGAATGCTGCCAAGAAAGACGTGGGGGAGCATGATGCAATCAAACTGTTACAAATGTCCAACTGAGGCAGATACAGGCTCGGGAGCTTAGCTCTGAGCCACATTTTAACACTCACTTCACCTGGGCACTGGCCCACGGGGCAGGACCTCCAGGAAACCTGAGACTCCACACTCTCCAGTGTCAAATGTCGCAGAAATTTACGAGAAAGACCTAAAGCGGGCTTTGGCCCATTTCCTGCTCCCAGATAAACCCCTAACAAAGGCTTATAGAAGGAAAGAGACGTCAGTATTCCCAAGCTGGCCGCTGCACAGAGGTCAGGTGTGGCCACCGCCTGCTCTGTGCACAGCCACCTCTGCAAAAGCCGGGCAGCCAAAACCCACGACCAGTGAGGCGTCCCTGTCCCCCGTCCGATTGCACTAACAAAGTTGACAGACTAGGGAAGAAGCACAGCGTTGCCGCTGGGGGTCCTTCCCAAGAGCGAAGGTAGTGGAAGAAGTCACAGCTTCCTTCACCTTCACTGAGTCTATACAACAGATGCAGGCTTCTTCCCTTTAGGGGTGCACCGAAGATAGCGTCTTCCTTCACAGCTAATTCGCCTCAAACTCTAGAATCGGGACACTGAGGCCCGGGGACAAAGTTCACAGCATATACTATTAATTCCCAGAAAACTACCAGTCATTTACTGGCTTCTGACCTTGGGAACTTCGTATTAAAAAGGCACGGAATATCCAGTGCCTATCTCTCGGCTAAGCTAAACGCTCGGATGCATAGCAGGGTCTTGGCAACTTGAATCACATCTGTCATCACCAGGTCATCACCACGCCCCTCTCACCCAGATCTGACCCCACCAGGCACGCGACGCCAGGTTTTTCACACAGACCCAAGTAACTCCTACCTCACCGCCGTGCCCATCGAAGATCCCGAAGATGGACGGGTGCGTCTTGTTGGCCAAATCGGTGAGAACTTCGAAGCGATCTTCCATGTGGTCTCTCCGGCCCTGGATGGAGTACACCGCCACATTATGGCTCTTGAACTCCCAGGTCTTGGAAAACTCGGCCTCCAACACATCAAGTCCTCCAAGGCGATCGTTCTGCATAATCTCGGCCACCTTGCCCTTCACCATCTTCACCGCGTCCCGGCTGGACTTGACGATGGTCTTCACTTCGTCCGTGTGGAAGAAGTAACTCCACAGAGCCAAGCTGATGCACAGCAGAAAAAGCGTCTCGGGTCTCAGCAAGAAGTAGCGCATGATGCGACCCAGCAGAGACAGCAAAGTCATTGTATCCTCTATCATTTATTATCCCTAGAGCCCCGACCAGCAGCAGCGACGCGCGCCCCGCAGCTCGCGGGGTCCGAGCACTGCGGGCACAGCCCGCGGGGGACCGGGGCGAAGAGGCAGCCGGGGCCGGTAGGATGAACCCACGGCGGGTCGGAACAGGAGCCCAGAGCGATGGCAGTTTCCCTTTTGTCTAGGCAGCCCCGAGGCCCGTGCCCGCCGCCCGCGCCGCCTTCCCTCCCCGCGCTCTTTGTGAGACCGCAGCGACGGCGGCGGCGGCGGCGGCCGCCGCGGGTGCCCTGGGTGGGCGACAGGAATCAAGTTAAAGTTGCGCCGAGCCGGTCCGCAACGGTGAACAGGATGTCGGGGTGCCGAGACGCCCGCGCGGTCCCTTTGGGGTCCCCCCCTCGCGGTTCCCGGGAGCGATCGGCAGGTGAGGAAGCGCAGAGAGCGCAAGAGCCCGGCGGCGGCGGGCGAGGGTTGCACGTCCCCTCGGTCGCCGCTGCAGGCGAGCGTGGAGACAGCGGAGCGCTGCGATTTCGTCACACAGCCCGGGGGGAGCCCGAGACAATAAAAGTTTTGCGGGCGCCTGGGCAAAGACAAGGAGACACCGAGCCGGGAAACGCAGCAACGATGGGTGCGGAGCCGCGGGCAGGCTCTGCCTGCCTCTCCCCGGCACCTCGCGGCTCGGCTCGGCTCGGCTCTGCTCGGCAGCTCCCGGCTCCGCTCGTGCTCGCCCCGCCCCGGCTCGCACACGTCCGCCCCGCCCCGCCCCGCCCCTGGAGTGGAGCTTCCAGACCGCGTCGCGCTCTCACCCGACTAGGGGGCCCGAAGGAGCTCGCAGTGGCGGACGCGCGTGGGCAGCAGGCAGGTCGAGGCAACCGCGGGGGCGGCGGGAGGGGGGCGGCCGCGCGTCCAGCCGCCGGGGTCGAGCGGATGGTCGATTCTGCCCGGGGGGCCGGCTCCGGGGGATAGTGTGATAGTGACGCCACTGCCCGGATCATTGGTTTCTCGGGCTGCGCGGCTGCCAGCTGGGGAGCCGGGAAGCCGTACACGAGCGCGTCCCCCTCCGGCACGCTGCACAATGGTGCCGTCCACGCCTCCCCCTTCCTAAGGCTAGCAAGATGGGACACATTTCTCCCGGCTCGGGACTCGAAACGGAGTGATTATGTTTGGCCACACGAGGCGGTCGCCAGCGAGGCCCGGGTGGATCTCCCGAGAGGCAGGACGCAGTCCCGGGCCCCAGCAGCTTTGTCCCTCGGACGGCAAACCGAGGACCTCAGAGCCCGACATTAGGCTTGTAGAGCAACCTCGGGAGGTCCAGGAAGGGCTGGCCTCCAAAGACTGGGGCTGTCCTGGTCGCCACGCTCTCCCGGGGAGACAAGGAGTGTCCTCCGCCAGCGACTCTGCCTGCGGTTCAGGTTAGAAGTCTTCTGGAGGCTCCGAAGTGACAGCTACCTCCTCCGTCCCTGTAGAAGATGGATCTCGGCAGGATAACTTGAAATGTGGGCGAGGGCTGGTCGCCTAGAGTATGAAGACGTGCACTTTAAAGGAAAATTTTCACTCTCTCTACCCCTGTCCACGAAAAACGGTGCTGATCCACTGGACTGGAGTTCAGGCCTCCTGATACCCTTCCAGCCAGTGTGTCCCCCAAACACTTCTGCCTTCTTTTGATCCCAATTACGTTTTAAGCCATAAAGTATAAGCGTCTCGGTAGTGACGCACGCCTTTAATCCCTGCACTTGGGAGGCAGAGGCAAGTGGATCTTTGTGAGATCAAGGCCAGCCTGGTCTACAGAGTGAGTTCCAGGACAGCCGGGATTGTTACACAGAGAAACTCTGTCTCGAAAAACCATGTGTGTGACTGGAAAGAAATATAACAAAATGTTCAATCAGTAAAGTAGTAACTATAGCAATTCTCATTTTCTCCTTCAGATTTTTGTATATTTTCCATAACTGCCAAAGTTTCTACAAAAATCTAGACTTCCCTCACAACCAGAAAGAAAAGAATAGTTAATAATTTAAATGGCACATATAATATGATCCCGACAATATAAACATAAATAGAAGCGGCAAGAAACAAATAGGAGGAACTGTTAAGAACATATTTTTGAAAACTAGGATACAGTCTTCAATATGATTATGAGCTATGGCTTTCAATATTGTCCACTTGAGTAAGAAGATGTAAGTTCAAAACAAATTGGGTCAATTATTCAGTATTCAAGAGGTTCCAAAATCAGATAATAAATTAAAAATTCTTTAAGAACTGTAGCTAAAGAAACTCTGTCAAAAAAAAAACTGTGTGTGTGTGTATTTAGGAAAACAAATTATTTCTTACTGTAAATTACCAGATTTGAGGTTATTAGTCCTTTTGTCCATAAACGGTGTCTCTTAGAGCAAACACAATTTGTAGATAAACATAATGAATCTCTATAATATATTCTTGTGGCCCGCAAGACTGGGACCTCTGCCTGGACTCTGCATTCCAAGTGCAAGAACTAGAGAACACACCCCTAGACACGTGACTTGTTCCCTGAAGCCAAGCAAGCAAGATTACCATACTGGCTTAACATAATGAATTAAGTAATAAACCTAGACATCTTTAAATTCTGTAAGGCTGTGCTGTGACATTTACATCCAAGGGGTTCATCTGTAAAAATCAAGAACATTTTCAAGAAGACCCTCTAGGCATTTTCCTATTTCTGTTGAGAAATTTCATGTAACTTACAATTTTTAAATGCCTGAATAAGCTTTTGTTATACTTTACCATAATTTGAATATGCTAGAAAAACAAGAAACTTTCCACTAATGCCAAATTGACTTTTGCTCACTCTGATTACAAAGGTTTGGTTTTGTTCTTTTTTTGAGACAAAGGCTCTCCTTAGCCTTGGCTGGCTTGGAAGTCACTGTGTGGACGAAGCTATCTTTGAACTCATGAATCTTCTGCCTTTGCCTTCCTAGTTCTACCACACCCGTCTGCAAGAGTTTTTAGATATATATGTATTTGTTTCCATCCATACAGCAATCTTCTAGTGAAGACAGAGAGCTGTTATTTGTGTTTATGGTCTGAGGAAGTTAAGGCCAAAGATGTTAAATATCACAATACAGAAAATAAGAAATTGAACCCAATTCTGATTATACAGTACTCCAACATCCATTGATTGCCAGTGATACATAGATGACTATAAAAGTATCATTTTGGGCTGGAGAGATGGCTCAGTGGTTAAGAGCACTGGCTGCTTCTTCCAGAGGTCCTGAGTTCAATTCCCAGCAACCACATGGTGGCTCTCAAACACCTGTAATGAGACCTGGTGCCCTCTTCTGGACTACAGGGACACATGTAGGCAGAACACTGTATACATAATAAATAAATAAATCTTTTTTTAAAAAAGTATCATTTTTATACTTATCTAATGACATTTCCATAAATCTTGGTTACAGACATTGCAACAAAAACTACATGAATTCTTATGAACCACATTTGGGACAAAGACTGCACTGTTAGCATCTCACACAAATACAAATAAATTGTCCTTCACCTATGCAGTAAAAACCCTGTTGCTCAAGTGAAATGTTTTCTAAACTTCACAGGAAAGAAAGAGGTAGTGTAAAATGCGTACTGTACAAGTACTCTATCGGTACAAAGAACTTGGTAATGAGCACTGAGCTAATAGCAGTCCTGGGTTCTCATGTGATAGAACAATGACAATTACCAGGTAAGGACTGGAAAGATGACCTGTTGGTGACATGCCTGCTGCTCAAGCCCACTCAGGGATGAGAACATGAGTTCATATCCTGTCTTAGTTACGGTTTCTGTTGCTGCAAAGAGGCACCATGACCACAGCAACCCTTATAAAGGAAAGGAGTAACTGGGGCAGCTTACAGTTCAGAGGTTTAGTCCATCATTATCATGGCGGGAAGCATGGCAGCACACAGACAGACATGGTGCTGGAGAGGGAGCTGAGAGTTCTACATCAGCATCGAGAGGCAGCAGGAAGTGACAGTGATCCTGGGCCTGGCTTGGGCTTCTGAAACCCAAAAGCCCACCCCCAGTGATGCACTTCCTCCAACAAGGCCACACCTCCTAATAGTAGCACTCCCTGCGAGCCTATGGGGGCCACTTTCATTCAAATCACCACAGATCCCAAGCAGCTGTGTGAAAAGCTGGGCCCCATTTTTGGGGAAGTGGAGACAGGGGCATCCCTGGGACTTGTTGGCCCGTCAAATGGGTAAGCTCTACATTTAGGGTGAGGCCTTGTCTCAAAAAAATAACCAGTCAATGTATTCTCTAGTATGATGTTTCATTATGTCCTCATCTCTTTTTGTTTTTTCTACCTTGTACGAAGTTATAAACATCTAATGTGGTTTATCTTCTAAGCCTTTGGAGAATGAATGTAGAGACTGAAGAGATGGCTCGGTGATTAAGAACTCTTGCTCTTGCAGAGGACCCAGGTTTAGTTCTCAGCACACACATAGGAGCTCAAACCATCCACAACTCCAGTTCCAGGGAATTTGATGTTCTTTTCTGACCTCCGAGGGCACCAGGCACGCACATAGTGCCCATATTGACAGGCAGCCCAAACACTCAGACACATAAAAGTAAATAAACCTGAAAAACAAATTGTGAAAAGAAAACCTGTGAAGGAAATTCCAAATCATGTAGAAATTCTCTGCACATCTTAAACTTGTCAATTATCACTTTGAGTCATGCTCTTAAGTTTTTGTCATTTCTATACAAATATGTGCTTTGTGTTGAATAGGAGTGTGTTGAATACTTTTTCTGGCGTTCTGCAGTATATGCCTCTATATGTATAACCTTTTCAACTATACATATGGAAGGGTGCCTTAAAGTGTTGTTTTGAAGCACAACCTTAATTCATACAGACATAAAACAATGGCCTGGTTGAAAAGGACAGTACCAACCATGAAGATTTCTCCTGCACTTCCTTTCCCGCTGTCCTCCATTGCTATTGTACTGGGCAATATGTCGGCATCCGGAATTATTTATGCTCAGTTTTTGCCTAGGTTAGTTTCGAGGTTTTGTTTTGCTTTTCTTTTTCTTACGTAAAAATCACTGTATTGCAATGAACTTACAAATAAAAACATCACGCACCTAGATTAATGAAGCCACTGAAACACACCGTGGCCAGGTCCCAAACCCTATACATCTCGGTGAACTGCTGTAGAGTTAGATTGGCCATTCTGAAGCCCTGGAGCCTCACTCAGGGCTCTGTACACTTTTATCAATTCTGTTTGATGCAGTTATCTACCACATAAAGGAAGGAGGAAGGAAAGAAAGACGGGGCAGAGTTGAAACAAGAAAAACAATTAGCTTGTGTTCTCTTTCATGGGGTTTTGGAGTTTTGAAACGCTACCTTGCTCTCTGTAATCCTCTAACACTGGCCTGTTACCCAATTGTATTTCCATATCCCCACGCATTGTTACATAGAGCTGAAATTCCATCGTAGTGCCGATGTACCGTATTCCATAACTAATATACTCGTCCTCCTTACAGAATCGTCTGGTTGCTAAGGTTTTTTTGGGGGGGGGGGGTTGTTTTGTTTTGATGAATGATCTCACGAATTGATATGTGTTTTACCTCATGGTGTGCATGTGTAGAAGTCTATCCAGGGTACAGACATGGGAATGAAACAGCTAAAGTAATAGGGAATGAAAACGTTCAGCTTTATAGTGTATCATTCAAAATGTTACTTCCATTTGCAGT